TGATATGGTGATAATGTGGTTTATAAGGACATTTCCTTGTTTCAGGTAACAAATTGTGGTGGGCAGATGATGATTCAGCCCAACTGGGGACGGTGATCAAGAGAGACGGACGGACTCCTGTGGTTCTGAGAAATAAGACCAGCGGAGTGGTGTACATGAAGGTCTATGACAGGGAGGGACAGAGAGGTGAGGAACGCACACACACACACACACACACACACACACACACAGGCACGCTGTTGTGGAAAATTATCACTATACTTATTAAAAATCAAAGTTCTTCAGAGTTTTTGTAGAATTAAGATAGACTTTATTACAATTTGACAAAGCCGGGGTGATTTGCAAAGCATCCTCCCATCTACCTCTCAGCTCTCCGTTTATATAGTCATATTCACATACATCCTAGCTTAAAGCCCCTCCCTCTTAGGTTCCCCCATCATTATCTTCAGTTCCCCCCTCTCGACCGCTCCGCCCACTTCCTTAGTCTATGATAGCGGCTAAATTTGACTTCTCTTCAGTTTAGAAACAATATTATTACAATCAATCATGCCCTTGTCATGCAAAAACAATCATGTTCAGTTTCATCTCTGTTCAACCCCGGCTCACGCTGGCTTGACCTGAAGATTGATTGTTGGACATGACAAGTCCACACTCAATCTCTCAAACGTACCCAAACCCACTCCTCTCTTCCCTCCCGTCATGCTGTAATTACTCATGATTAGTCTAAACTCTGTTCAACTCGGGCTCCGCTCTCTCTACTTTGTTTTGAGGAGAGAGGCAAAAGGCCACAGTCTGGTTTCAGTCTCTGATAAGGTAGGAATTTGACACTAGGTCAGATCTCCACTTCACACACACACACCCAGTGAAATTAACCAATTAAGTTCTTGCCTAGCAACAGAGAATTCTGACTATATGTTCGTGATTATCTGTTTTATCTCATAGTCCACTAAAAAATTCCCATAAACGCACACATTTATTTTTGCACTTTTCACTTTTCAATCCCATCTACTGACATTCATAAATGTTACACTATGATGTACTACAGTACCTATAATGCTCTGCATAACATATCAGATGTTATCTTAGTAAAGATGTCCATGAAGCTAACATAATGGTGTCCTGTCTCCTTACTAATACACTATTCACCATGTCCTCTCCAGGAAGGAACCCGTGTCAGGTGAACAATGGAGGTTGCTCCCAGCTCTGCTTCCCCACATCAGAGAACACCCGTAGCTGTTCCTGTACTGTGGGCTACAACCTGCGCACCGACCGCATGTCCTGTGAGGGTAAGACAACAAATCTGATTCCCAAATGGCACCCTATTCCATACATAGTGCACTACCTTTGACCAGAGCCCTATTGGGGGGGGGGGGGGGGGGGGGGGGGGGGGGGGGGGGGACAACCTATGTATGACCATGCATTGAAAGCATTGAGCAGTTCAGACACCCTAGCATCAAAGTTACCACAAAGTCTGTGAAATGAATTCACTGTTGCTAAGTAGCACTATAGAAACCTCTGTAATCTACAAAAACATACACAATTTCACTGTGGTAAATGTACTCTCTGCATATTAATTTACAGTGTGTTAATCTTGGAATTCAGAACCAAATCTTGCGTGTGTCATTAACATTTATGTTAACAGTCTGTCACAAGAGACTAACATTTAAGTAATTCCTGTTGTACCCTGTAGGCATTGAGTCATTTCTGATGTACTCCATCAATGAGGGGATCAGAGGGATCGTCTTGGACCCCAATGACAACATGGAGGCTCTGATGCCCATCACTGGGACCCTGTTCGCTGTGGGGGTGGACTTCCATGCAGGTAGGCACCACCAGGGCCTTTATTCACAAAGCATCTCAGAGTAAGAGTGCTGATCAAATATCTGTTTTGACTTATAAATCATAATAAATAAGAGTGGGGACCCAGGACTAGCAGGACACAGTCATTTACTACACTTATCTCCTCAGTCAACAGTTAAACTTACTGTTCATTGATTTGATTATGTCTTCCGCAGCATACATGAAACCTACTCCAATTGGCAGTTTGTATTCAAGAGAAAAATGGCGAGAGAAATAAAGAGAGAGAGAGAGAGAGAGAGAGAGAGAGAGAGAGAGAGAGAGAGAGAGAGAGAGAGAGAGAGAGAGAGAGAGAGAGAGAGAGAGAGAGAGAGAGAGAGAGAGAGAGAGAGAGAGACCTGTATTGTAGTATGCTCTCCAACCCTGTAGTATAATGGTTAGTGGTGCTGTTGAGTGCTGCAGAGATTAAAGAGTAATACATCCACGTTACTAGAGACTCAGCATGAGAAACACCAACCATTTCTCCACATGCCCTGAACCAGGCCTGACACAAAGCAATTCCCCAGATTTTGTATCAAATGAAGGTAACATGGACATTATAATGCATAAACCCATTGGCTCACTCTGGCATTTGGTATAAAAAGGGGTTTTCTCTTGCATAATTCATGTTCTAAATATGGTGGATTCATTTCAGTGACGAATGCTATAAGTTATCTAAGGGCTAGTTGAGCTTCATATATGTTTCCACCGAGGCCACATGATAACAAAAACCATATAGGCATACCGGGAAAGAGAAGGTTTATCTAAAACACACACACACACTAAGTGTTACATAAATAATTTTTTACAAATATATCCCATGAATTGGAGATAAGGGTGGAGAGGAGATGTGTCACCTAACCACATTTGATAGAATAGGATAAAGGTATGGCACAACATACTGTATAACTGCAAGGTAGCACTTACCTCATTACCCAAAGCAAAGACAGTGAATGTCAGAAATGTCTCAGACCCTGAATGTCAATAGTAATCTTGAGGTTTGACTGCTTGCATTTTAGGAAATGAGGAAACTAGTTTAAAGCAAAAAAAAAAAAAGATTTCAAGTTTAAACTGGAGCTAAAATTAGCAGCTAGCAGGTTGGGATGGTGTGTATAAGGTCTTAGTTGCCCTCCCCTTTGTTGCTGTTATACAGGTGAACATGCAAACACCTAGCTAAGCTCTGAGTCAGCCAGCAGCAGCAGTGGATATCTCACGCATACTATTTGCATGTCATTATGAGGCAGGTCATTGGTGCATAAAAAATATGAAAGCCTTCCAGCTGGATCCTGTCACATGTAAGATAAGTGTGAATTCTGTGTAAATAGGAAGGGGCAAATAAACATATAATATAAAACGCTATATGTACAAAAGTATGTGGACACCCCTGCAAATTTTTGGATTCAGAGCACCCTTATCTGAGTGTGCCAGAGTGCAGAATATCTGATGAATTTACAAACGCGCAACACCCGCTGAATATGACAGGCGTCAGTAAATGTCTGCCAAAAAATTAATTCAATTGTTGCCACTTGCTAGCTACTTACAGACATAAATGAGAGTACACCTCACTCTGACCATTTTACTCACCCTAGCGGAGCTCGTTAGGCTGTTCTCAAGTTATCTAGAGCATTGAGACTGTAACTGTGCTGCTGGCAACAATTTAATTACGTTTTTTGCCGACGTTTACTGACACCGGTCATATTCAACAGGTGTTGCACGTTCCTAAATTCCTGTTATTCTGTGCTCTTTCGCACTCAGAGACAAGAGTGCTCTGAAATCGGAGTAAATAGCCAGAGTACGCTCTGAATGCTTGGAGAGCGAAATGCTCTGAATTTACGAACAGACAATCTGACAACGCACTGAATTTACAAACTACCCAGAGCGCAGTCTGACACACTCAAGGCAATTTAAGAAGGCACCCATAGTTGTCAATGAAATGTATTTGCCATCGATCAAATGGGCGAGTAGGAAAATTCCCATTCATTTGTCAAAACGAGGCAAGCTGCAGAAGGACGAGCAGGCTACTATTCCCCATCGTTTATCAGTGCAATTTTGATGGCCATCTAGCTGAAAATGTTTTCTAATGTTCCCTCGTTAGATTTTAGCTCATCTCGCTATGGCTAGCATTAGTTGTTGATCTTGTTGTTGATGTGCATAACTGAGGGAGAGAGCGTACCTTTTCATGGTTGTTTGATCAATAGGACTGCAATGTTCCCAAATGTAAGAGGACTCCTGTGGTATTTACATATTTGCAGAAATCCATTCAGGTGTATTTTGTGGCTTTTGGCGAATGCGTTCTAATTATCTAAAGTATTGCTGTTGCTACTGCCTGTAAACACACAGTCCAGTTCAAAGTGAATGATGGCAGGCCCGTGTGGCAAATGGCTTATTTGCATAAAGGCCTACTGTAGCTCTGATTGGCTATGGCGCACCGGTCTGTGTAGACTAAGGTTCTGGACGAGACAGATGTTTTTATTAGGTTTTATTTACAGCAGTGTCTATTAATTGTTCAAACGCACGGCCACTTTCCCACTCAATATTACTATAGAATTTTCACAAATGCCTTACTCTACGTCATTCCCAAACATTCTATGAATTTATGAAAACTTGAAAATGACCATATTAAAGTGTGCTGTCAGTTCCACTTTAAGTAGTTTTTTGGGGTATCTGTACTTTACTTTATTATTTATATTTTTGACAACTTTTAGCAATTACATTTAATTGTTACACTTAAATACATATAACACCTAATACGTTAAGAGTAGTATTTTACTGTGTGACTTTCACTTTTACTTGAGTCATTTTCTATAAAGGTATCTTTACTTTTACTCAAGTATGCCAATTGGGTACTTTTTCAAACCACTGGAAATAAGGTTTGAATGGATGTATGGATACGCTAACAACTTTCATACTTTATATCATCCTAAAAAAATTGTACATTAAGAAGGAGGTTATGTAATGTACCTACCTTTTCCACGGTAGTGCAAAAGGATCAGATCCACACTCTAGGAATTGAGGTGGAAACTACTACTGATGAGCCCAAGTTCTAAACTACTAAACAACAACTACTAAAGAATACCAAGAGTTTGCATTCTACACACCAATTTATATAGAATACTACAAGTGTGCAGTTTTTTCCTTACTTCGTTTCCTGCCTATCCACAGGTAATGACACAGTGTACTGGACAGACATGGGCCTGAACACAATCTCCAGAGCCAAGAGGGATCAGACCTGGAGGGAGGACATCATTACTACGGGCATCAGCAGGGTAGAGGGCATCGCAGTGGACTGGATCGCTGGTCAGTATTGTCTTCTGTAAATTGTACAAAATGGCTTCTTACTATGTGGTCCTATGTGGATATACCACCCCCAAACATTTCCTTAGATTTTATCTCAATGAGACTACCCTGTATAAATAAAGGTACCTGTATAAATAAAGCTATACATGAAAATATTCTAATCAAATTGAAAGATTGTCACTGGGATAAATTACGCATGTCTACTGAAGTGTCCTTTAAAATTACATTTTCATGTTGTGAATTATCTCCTTAGTTTCTGATGAGTAAGAGTAACACTGTTCTTTGTACAACTCTAATACCAGTATTGTTGTCTTCTTCCCACAGGTAACCTTTACTGGACAGACCATGGTTTTAACCTCATAGAGATTGCCCGTCTTAGTGGTACCTACCGTTGTGTAGTCATCTCAGAGGGACTCGACCAACCTAGAGCCATCGCTGTTCATCCACAGAAAGGGTATGTCTGTTTGTTTGTGTGTGTGTGTGTACGTGCTTGAGTGCATGTTTGTATGTGCGCCAGGGGCGTCAATTGGGTATGCATACCCTAGATCAACACCAACAATTTAAAATAGGCTACTAAAATAATTCCAATCCCGATTAAAAGGCAAATGCAGTTTAGATGTTAGTTGTCTGACTTTAAGACCATGCGGACGCCTGGGAGCTGGAGGGAAGGCTGTTTGTATGGCTGGTAGGCTTTATGGAAAGCAGAGATCTGTATATAATGACGAGATGCTTATGTGTCCGCCGTAACAATGGGAGTCGTCCCAAAGGCGGGAAGGCAAGCGACAAGTTTATACTGTAGGTCCAACGTTTTTAACAGATTTTGGTGAGAGTGAAACCTCTCGCTTCGCCTCTTCCTCTCTGTAGAAAACACATAGCTGCAGGGAAGAGCGGAACTTTTTCTCAACACATTGTAGAGGTAAAGATGGTTGTAGTAGACTACATTGGCTAGGTAACTGCTGTTTGAAACTAAGCTAGAGTTTTAAACCCGGTGCTGAGCTAGTACGTAGCAGGCAGCTAATTATTGTATGACGTGTTTGTTAAACGTTAAGTCCCCTATTAACTTAGGTGAATGATGCTACAGCAGCAGGGTGATAATGGCTGTAGTCAATTTCGCTTGTTTTTGCTCTTCTCCAAATAGTATTTTAGAGTTTTTAAATTGTGTAGAAATGCAGTAAATGAGCATATATAAATTATATACACTACATGACCAAACGTATGTGGACACCTGCTCTTCGAACATCTCATTCCAAAATCATGGGCATTAATATGGAGTTGGTCCCCCCTTTGCTGCTATAACAGCCTGGGAAGGCTTTCCACTAGATGTAGGAACATTGCTTTGGGGACTTGCTTCCATTCAGCTACAAGAGCATTAGTGATGTCGGGCACTGATGTTGGGTGATTAGGCTTGGCTCGCAATCGGCGTTCCAATTAATCCCAAAGGTGTTCGATGGGGTACAGGTCAGGACTCTGTGCAGACCAGTCAAGTTCTTCCACACCGATCTCGATAAAACATTTCTGTATGGACCTTGCTTTGTGCAGTGGGGAATGTCCATGCTGAAACAGGAAAGGGCCTTCCCCAAACTGTTGCCACAAAGTTGGAAGTGCAGAATCGTCTAGAATGTCATTGTATGCTGCAGCGTTAAGATTTCCCTTCACTGGAACTAAGGGGCCTAGCCCGAACCATGACAAACAGCCCCAGATCATTATTGCTCATCCACCAAACTGTACAGTTGGCACTATGCATTCTGGCAGGTAGCATTCTCCTGGCATCCGCCAAACCCAGATTCGTCTGTCGGACTGCCAGATGGTGAAGCCTGATTCATCACTCCAGACAACGCGTTTCCACTGCTCCAGAGTCCAATGGCGGCAAGCTTTACACCACTCCAGCCGACGCTTGGCATTGTGCATGGTGATCTTAGGCTGCTCGGCCATGGAAACCCAATAATAATTATTGTGCTGAAATTGTTTCCAGAGGCAGTTAGGAACTTGGTAGTGAGTGTTGCCACCGAGGACAGATGATTTTTACGTGCTTCAGCACTCGGCGGTCCCATTCTGTGAGCTTGTGTTGCCTACCACTTTGCGGCTGAGCCGTTGTTGCTCCTAGAAGATTCCACTTCACAAATAACAGCACTTACAGTTGACCGGGGCAGCTCTAGCAGGGTAGAAATTTTACAAACTGACTTGTTGGAAAGGTGGCATCATTGAAAGTCACTGAGCTCTTCAGTAAGGCCATTCTACTGCCAATGTTTGTCTATGGAGATTGCATGGCCGTGTGCTCGATTTTATACACTTGTCAGCAATGGGTGTGGCTGAAATAGCCGAATTCACATACTTTTGTATATATATATTTATTTATTTATACAAAATATAAATACATTCTAGGAGGAAATCAGTAGAAACAGACCAGTAGAAACATGCTCAGACCAGTAGAAACACGCTCAGATGTGCTCCTAGCTCCTGCAGTGATGTTTGTTGTCATGCCTGACCTATGTGAAGTTGTTTAGCAGTTGTAGGTGTTGTGTGCAGTCACAGTATGATTTGTTTCAGTTTGCCACTAAACGTTCGAGATCGACTGTTGACACTGCGTGAAAGAACAGCTGGAGGCCCATGACAGGCTCACATTTCAACCATTTTCTGAAAACAGAGGGCTGTAACACCAAAGTATCCTCTCTAGACCCAATAGAAGTAGGCTTTGAGGTGAACTACATTGTAAAACTATGTGATTTCAGTTGCATTGCTTCTGATAACCTCCTTATCAGATTAGATCAGACATTTTGTGTATCCTTTCAGATCTGTTCCTGTTGTCCAAGCAGTTAGATGTCAATAATATTACAGTTTACCACTGTCTCTCTCTCTCTCTCTCTCTCTCTCTCTCTCTCTCTCTCTCTCTCTCTCTCTCTCTCTCTCTCTCTCTCTCTCTCTCTCTCTCTCTCTCTCTCTCTCTCTCTCTCTCTCTCTCTCTCTCTCTCTCTCTCTCTCTCTCTCTCTCAATTCAATTCAATTCGATTCAATTCAAAGTGCTTTATTGGCAAAGCAAATGAAATATATAATAAACAAAAGTGAAATAAACAATCAAAAATTAACTGTAAACATTACACTCATAAAAGTTTCAAATGAATAGAGACAAATGTCAAATTATGGGAATGTACAGTGTTGTAACGATGTGCAAATGGTTATAGTACAACAGGGAAAATAAGTAAACATAAATGGTTGTATTTACAATCTCTTGCTCCCCACCCCCCCTCCCCTCCCTCCCTCCCTCCATCCCTCCCTCTCTCCCCCTCCCTCCCTCCCTCTCTCCCCCTCCCTCCCTCTCTCTGGCAGGTATCTGTTCTGGACAGAGTGGGGCCAGAGCCCCTGCATAGGGAGAGCCCGTCTAGATGGGTCTGATCAGGTCACCCTGGTCAACACTGGCATCGGCTGGCCCAACGGGATCTCCATAGACTATGAGGTACAGTACTGGACATCCTCCTGATCCATCAATGTCATATTTGCACTTATCCATCCACCCCATCCTAAAGCAGTTTCATAACAGCATCCTATCCTCATCCTTCTTTGTGTGGATAAAATGTACCCAATTTACCCCCATAACTTTGCAGGAAAATAGATTATACTGGTGTGACGCCCGCACCGACAAGATAGAGAGGATCAACCTTGAGACGGGTGAGAGCAGGGAGATTGTACTGTCAGTGGCCAACGTAGACCTGTTCTCCGTGGCCGTGTTTGGAGCTTACATCTACTGGTCTGACAGGTAATGTATTATTTCCTTAAATGCACACAGAGTGGGCTGCAAAGTCCGATCCTCTAACCCTTAATCTCAGAGGTCTCAGTGGGGAGATCCTCAGGGGAGTATTTTTACATGATTAGGGCCACCATCTCTTTATGTAAATGTACTAGCGTACCTCAATGTCATTATCAAGGGAAGATCCCTTTGCCTTTTGTCAAACCAGTTGGCTTGAGTTATTTTATGCTTGCTTGATTATTTTCTTTATGATAAATGTCCATTGTTAAAAAAAACATTTGACAGCCTTTTTTAATTTTCTGTCATTTAGAAAAGTTAAAAGTTTTAATGTCACAAGCACAAGTACAGTGAAATGCCTTTCTGGAAAACTCAAAACCCAACAATGCGATAATCAATAACTATGTAATACAAAAAAAATAACATATTAGAAATAAGAAGAAATATGAAGAACAGAATAAGTAAGTAAGTAAGTAAGTATACTAGTGGTTTGCGAAAGTATTCACCCCCTTGGCATTTTTCCTATTTTGTTGCCTTACAACCTGGAATTAAAATTGATTTTGGGGGGGTTTGTTTGATTTGATTTACACAACATGCCTACCACTTTGAAGATACTAAATATGTTTTGTTGTGAAACAAACAAGAAATCAGACAAAAAAACTGAAATCTTGAGCGTGCATAACTATTCACACCCCCCCCCCCCTATATAAGTCTCTATAAGCTTGGCACATCTAGCCACTGGGATTTTTGCCCATTCTTCAAGGCAAAACTGCTCCAGCTCCTTCAAGTTGGATGGGTTCCGCTGGTGTACAGCAATCTTTAAGTCATACCACAGATTCTCAATTGACTAGGCCATTACATTTGACATTTTAGTCATTTAGCAGATGCTCTTATCCAGATCGACTCACAGTTAGTGAGTGCATACATTTTTCATACTGGCCCCCCGTGGGAATCGAACCCACAACCCTGGCGTTGCAAACGCCATGCTCTACCAACTGAGCGACACAGGGCATTCCAAGACATTTAAATGTTTCCCCTCAAACGACTCGAGTGTTGCTTTAGCAGTATGCTTAGGGTTATTGTCCTGCTGGAAGGTGAACCTCCGTCCCAGTCTCAAATCTCTGGAAGACTGAAACAGGTTTCCCTCAATAATTTCCCTGTATTTAGCGCCATCCATCATTCCTTCAATTCTGACCAGTTTCCCAGTCCCTGCCGATGAAAAACATCCCCACAGCATGATGCTGCCACCACCATGCTTCACTGTGGGGGTGATGAGAGGTGTTGGGTTTGCGGCAGACATAACGTTTTCCTTGATGGACAAAAAGCTCAATTTTAGTCTCATCTGCCCAGAGTACCTTCTTCCATATGTTTGGGGAGTCTCCCACAATGGCGAACACCAAACTTGTTTGCTTATTTTTTTCTGTAAGCAATGGCTTTTTTTTGGCCACTCTTCCGTAAAGCCCAGCTTTGTGGAGTGTACAGCTTAAAGTGGTCCTATGGACAGATACTCCAATCTCCGCTGTAGAGCTTTGCAGCTCCTTCAGGGTTATCTTTGGTCTCTTTGTTGCCTTTCTGATTAATGCCCTCCTTGCCTGCTCTGTGAGTTTTGGTGGGCGGCCCTCTCTTGGCAGGTTTATTGTGGTGCCATATTCTTTCCATTTTTTAATAATGGATTTAATGGTGCTCCGTGGGATGTTCAAAGTTTTTGATATTTTTTTATAACCCAACCCTGATTTGTACTTCTCCACAACTTTGTCCCTGACCTGTTTGGAGAGCTCCTTGATCTTCATGGTGTTGTTTGCTTGGTGGTGCCCCTTGCTTAGTGGTGTTGCAGAGTCTGGGGCCTTTCAGAACAGGTGTACATATACTTAGATCATGTGACAGATCATGTGACTCTTAGATTGCACACAGGTGGACTTTATTTAACTAATTATGTGACTTCTGAAGGTAATTGGTTGCACCACATCTTAATTATGGTCTTCATAGCAAAGGGGGTGAATACATATGCACACACCACTTATTCCGTTATTAATTTTTTTGAATTTTCTGAAACAAGTTATTTTTTTCATTTCACTTCACCAATTTTGACTATTTTGTGTATGTCCATTACATGAAATCCAAATAAAAATGTAAATTACAGGCTGTAATGCAACAAAATAGGAAAAACGCCAAGGGGGATGAATACTTTTGCAAGGCACTGTATATACAGGGTCAGTTCCAATACCATATTGATATGTATAGGGGTAAGGTGAGTAGGCAACAGGATATAAGATAAACAGAGTAGCAGCAGCTTGTATGTGAGTGGGTGTGTGTGTGTGTAGAGTCAGTATAAATGAATGTGCATATTATATGTGTGTGTGTGTGTGTGTTTGTGTGTGTGTGTAGGGCCCTGTGAGTGTGCATAGAGACTATTAAAAGGTAAATAAAGATACAAGGTTAACTCAGATAGTCTGTGTAGCTATTTTGTTAGCTATTTATATGTCTTATTGCTTGGGGATAGAAGCTGTTCAAGAGCCTGTTGGTGATAGACTTGATGCACCGGTACCGCTTGCCATGCGGAAGCAGAGAGAATACTCTATGGCTTGGGTGGTTGGAGTCTTTAATGATTTTCCGGACCTTCCTACCACACCGCCTGATATAGATGTCCTGGATGGCAGGGAGCTCAGCCCCAGTGATGTACTGGGCTGTCTGCAACACCCTCTGTAGCGCCATGTGATCAAGGGCGGTGCTATTGCCATACCAGGCACCAATGCAGCCATTGAAAATCAATCAATCAAATGTATTTATAAAGCCATTTTTACATCAGCAGATGTCACAAAGTGCTATACAGAAACCCAGCCTAAAACCTCAAACAGCAAGCAAAGCAGATGTAGAAGCACGGTGGCTAGGAGAAACTCCCTACGAAGGAAGAAACCTAGAGAGGAACCAGGCTCTGAGGGGTGGTCAGTCCTCTTCTGGCTGTGCCAGGTGGAGATTATAAGAGTACATGACCATTTAAGGCCAGATTGTTCTGCAAGATGTTCAAACATTCATAGATGACCAGAAGGGTCAAATAATAATCACAGTGGTTGTAGAGGGTGCAACAGGTCAGTACCTCAGGAGTAAATGTCAGTTGGCTTTTCATAGCCGAGCATTTAGAGGTCGAGAAAGCAGGTGCGGTAGAGAGAGAGTCGAAAACAGCAGTTCCGGGAAAAGGTAGCACGTCCGGTGAACAAGTCAGGGTTCCCTAGCCGCAGGCAGAACAGTTGAAACTGGAACAGCAGCACGGCCAGGTGGACTGGGGACAGCCAGGAGTCATCAGGCCAGGTAGTCCTGAGGCATGATCCTAGGGCTCAGGTCCTCCGGGATGGGAGGGAGAGAGAATTAGAAGGAGCATACTTAAATTCACACAGGACACCAGATAAGACAGGAGAATTACACCAGATATAACAGACTGACCCTAGCCCCCCGGCACATAGACTATTCCAGCATAGATACTGGAGACTGAGACAGGGGTGAGTCGGGGGACACTGTGGCCCCGTCCGACGAGACCCCCGGACAGGGCCAACCAGTCAGGATATAACCCACCCACTTTGCCAAAGCACAGCCCCCACACCACTAGAGAGATATCAACAGACCACCAACTTACTAACCTGAGACAAGGCTGAGTATAGCCCACGAAGATCTCCTCCATCGCACGAGCCCAAGGGGGCGCAAAACCGGACAGGAAGATCACGTCTGTGACTAAGTGACGCACCCCTCCTAGGGACGGCATGGAAGAGCACTAGTAAGAATGGAACCTTGAGGAACGCCGAAACGTACAATTGATTTGTCAGAGGACAAACCGTCCACAGAGACGAACTGATATCTTTCCGACAGATAAGATCTAAACCAGGCAAGAACTTGTCCGTGTAGACCAATTAGGGTTTCTAATCTCTCCAAAAGAATGTGGTGATCGATGGTGTCAAAAGCAGCACTAAGGTATAGGAGCAGGAGGACAGATGCAGAGCCTGGGTCTGGCGCCATTAAAAGGTAATTTACCACCTTCTCATGAGTGCGGTCTCAGTGCTATGATGGGGTCTAAAACCAGACTGAAGTATTTCATTTACATTATTTGTCTTCAGGAAGGCAGTGAGTTGCTGCGCAACAGCTTTTCCCCAAAAAATTTAGAGGAATGGGAGATTCAGTATAGGCCGATAGTTTTTTACATTTTCCGGGTCAAGGTTTGGCTTTTTCAAGAGAGGCTTTATTACTGACACTTTTATTGAGTTTGGTACACATCCGGTGGATAGGGAGCCATTTATTATATTCAACATAGGAGGGCCAAGCACAGGAAGTAGCTCTTTCAGTAGTTAGTTGGAATAGGGTGCAGTATGCAGCTTGACGGTTTAGAGGCCATGACTATTTTCATGAATGTGTCAAGAGATACAGGATTAAAAAACTTGAGGGTCTCCATTGATCTGAGGTCCTGGCAGTTCTGTGCAGACTCGGGAAAACTGAGCTTTGGAGAAATACGCAGGTTCAAGGAAGAGTCCGTAATTTGCTTTCTAATGATCATGATTTTTTCATTGAAGAAGTTCATGAATTTATCACTGCTGAAGTGAAAGCTATCCTCTCTTATTGAATGGAATGCCGCTTTTTAGTTAGCTTTGCGACAGTATCAAAAATACATTTGAGATTGTTCTAATTCTCCTCAATTAGGTTGGAAAAATAGGATGATCGAGCAGCAATGAGGGCTCTTTGATATTGCGGGGTAC